GATCCTGATTTTCGTAATGCAATGTCTACATTACTTTTGAGTATGGAAATTGCAGGTTACCCCAGTAGTATCCCTCCATCTGAAGATTAAATCTCCCGAAGTGCTGGAAAAACCATTAGCATTTTTTCCTCTCGGTTATCGTCTGCATGTTGATGTTGAGTCAAGAGATCACTTCGGCCGTCTGTTCGATGCTGCGAAGCATTCGCTAAATTACAGGCCTCATCGGTAGTGCTATTTTATTAAGTTCATCCGGATTTTCCCATATATTTTGATAATTTAGAAATTTGGGAATTCGTCAGTCTTTTTGAGTTCATCACTTGACAAAGAATAATATAGTCAGAGGTACGGAAATACTTCTGTCTTTCCAGTTTTATTTATTTCCATCTATGATTTAGGCCATAAAGAGGAATCTTTTCTGTTTACAACCATTTATAGTGTTAATGAAAAAATTTACGGAAAAAGAGTTCACATGAGTTGTCTGAAATATTTCTGTTAATATCTCTGTTTTTCCTAGCCACTAATATTTTGTTATAGTTTTGATTTGATTGAAATTCATCCTGGGAACGCTAACAGTTCATTTGATATTCATCTAAAGGATTTTGGCGAAACAGTGTTTAAGGTGAGTTAATTGATAGATTTCCTTTCTCTCAGCTATTTTTTCCTAACCGTGTATTTTGATCGATATTTTTATGATTTTATTTTATTCTTTCATGTTCAGTATTTAATTTTTAGCTAACTTACTCCTTCTCTTCTTCAAACTGCTAGCAATTGCAAGCAGTTAATTATAATTTCGAAATATCGTTATTTTGTTGAGGTATGGGACAGAAATAATCCCGACCTAAATGTTTTTCTGCGTCTTCCGGTGGATGATGTAATCGGGCCATCAATACATTCTGTGGCCGTCTCCGAAATTATTTGTTTTAATTCACCGTTGTTAGTATCTGGATGGAAAGAGTTAGATGGAAAGCGACATTTCCAATTCATCGACGAATCAAATGGTATTGCTGTAGCAGTGGATACTGGTAGCACCGTAGTTGCTTCTTATCATTCACAGAAACAAACCATTTTTACTAAGGTATTCTGTCATTACTATCATTTTTAATAAATAATGAAATAATACATTCTAGATGGAGCACTTGAAACAGATCAGTCGTGAATTATATGCTTATATTTCCTAGTCATTACATGATAATGAATCAGATGCAATATTTTATGTGTCAGATGTAATAAATAAATTTGGAAATTGTTTTTTTTATTTTCAATTTGTAGTACATTTTCAGTACATTAACTTTACACAAATTCTTTGATGAGTTCATATTCCTTGCAGCGCAAAGTTGTTCCAGCAAAATCTCTTCGGTTTTCATCAGTACCGCAATTTGTTTCGAATATAAAAGATCATCAATATGTATTTCCATTAATCGTTCATAGCATTGAACAGAATCCAACTAACACTTATGGTACCTTCCCCATTATTTTTATTATTAGCTAATGATTTTTGTCAAATGAATTTCAATTCTATTTGATGGAAAAATAAGAAATTTCATGATATTGCGTAACTTCTCATTTTGAAATATCTCAGCATATATTTTAGAAGTACATTAAAGATTCTCCAATTAAACTAATGTTTTGCTAAGGGATTGCAACAAAAAGTGTAATTCGTACAGGCAAATTTAAAAATCCGATAGCAGAGACAAACTTGTTTCTGCAATTTTATGTGTTATTTCTGTTTGGTTCATGTCATTCAAGCATACGCATTATTCCATGAATATTGATCTAGTAAACCAAAAACAGTTTCACGCAATTTAGGTTGTGCATCTGGGCTATTGGAGGAGCTAATTTTGGATGCACCTTTTGATTGCACTATTGCTTTTGTGGAAAAAGTGAGTGTGTTGGCAACAAGCTTATTTGCTGCTCATTCGAAATTTCTACCTACATTAGGTAAGGAATTCATTCATCCCGTTTTATGGATTTGACAGTAGTGCAAGATATTACAAATTTTTAGATATAGGTGTTTTAAAGGATAAAGCAGTTTTAAATATCCTGAACCTGAGAGCTTCTTTTGTTAAAACATACTAGGATTTGTAGAAATTAGAAGAGTACTTATTACTAAATCAATACTCTATTCTGCAATACTTTGTTCAAATCAATAAGCAAGGAAAGTGAAAGATCTATTTGATATAGCTTGTTGAGTTTCGGCTTTTTATTAGGTAAATATGGTTGTATCTTGGTGGAACAAACATTCGAGGGACCAGTTTCTTTGAATGATTACCAGAGTCTTAGTTTGAATATCTCCGCCATCTGGAATCGTGTTGGAAAGGTTTGTACAATTAGGCATACGTTTTTGCTTTTTTTGTTTGTTTTGTTTTCTTTTGTTTTTTATTGTCTTTTTGGTTTTGAAAGTAGCTGCAGCACAATGTTTGGTTTATTGAAATTGAAAGTTAAAGGATGATTTGAATTAAGCAATTAATTTTAAGGAATATTTCAGGTAAAGGAAGCAAGCGTAATAGTTACTTTCTACCCACGTTTTGAAATCATTCAACGTGAGATACGTCTAAACAATGTGAACGCACTAGAAGCTGATCTAGTTATACAGTCATCCATATATGCTGCTAGCAAAATATCAGTTCAAGCTGATAGTGGAGGTGTTTTGCATATAAAGAAAGTTAAATCCACTTCACTCACGGAGTTACGATATCGTATTGAGGTATGTATTTGTAATATCTATAAGTAATAGTTAATTTAAAAGTTAATTGGTTAAGGAAAACACAAATGTTAGCTCAACCGCAAGGAAGGAAAAAATGATATTTGAGACTTAATTTGTTTTCTTTTGATGCCACCTAATAATGAAAAGTTCATTTCAGTTGGACATGAATTCAGTGCTTTTGTGGCAGGAATTATTGGATAAATGCAATATTACAGTCAAAAGTGCAATCACGGGGCAGTTTGAAATAGTGCCAGTAACTATCGTTCTTCATGGTGATGCATCAAAAACTGTTTTACGTGGTATCTTACGTATTACGTTATCACTTTTTTTTTTCCTCATACATTTCGGTCCTATACAGTTATTTTGCCGTGGTGGTATAATGAATGCCATTAAAATGTTTCTCTTTGTTCAAAACTAATATTATTACAGCTTCTGACCATTTTATGGGTCTTCTGCGTTCATTTCTAGAATCAACATTCGTTCAAGTATGTGCGTCACTTCTTACTGCTGCGGTTCTCATCGTTCTGATAGGTACTTTGATTATACTTTTGGTCTTTATTTTCATTTGTAAAGATGTTTGATGATGAATGAAGAGTAATAAGTTTGAGATATCTAATCCTGTTTTACATTTCGACCCATTCTTGAAGTATCAGTGAGTTCTTCTGCTGTCATTGCTGTCATCAATCGTTCTTATATGCCACATTAATCGTTATTCACATTTCACAGAGTTCTTTTATTTGCATATTTAACTTTCAGTCGTATGAATTAAATAGTTTTTCTTTTTTTCAGCGCACTGCAGAGGATTCAGTTTTTCATCTTATTTCTTTAGCTCGTTCTATACTACTGATTCTAATGCTACGTATGGATCGTTTGCTAGTGATTATCCAGGTTAAAATTCTTCTTTTAGTTAGTGTTTGTGTAGGCTGTAATAGACATTGCATGTTTACACAATAATTACATGTGCATATTTTAGAAATGAAATGAAAGTAAGCTATCAATTGAAAATTGATGAGTATTTGTTGTTATGAAATTTGCATTACCAGTAAAATCACTCCCAAGAATATAAGTGATAAATGTAGGAGAAATTACAGAACGGTATACGCCGTTAACTTATAAGAATGGAAAGAGTTTGTTGGGTTCATCTGATGTGTCACTAATATCCAATCGATCTAGTCGTTCAGTTGGGAGCCCAGGGGAACCGATTCTTTGGAGTGTTCCGGATCGATCGCTCATATCACCACGTTTACGAAAGAGACAGTGGTAATGATCATTTTTCTTTGCATAGCATTTATTATGAAATTGGTATTGTGGTACTTTTTAGCTTGTTTTGACTTGTGGTTCACTTTTTTTAATGTTCCATTATTATTGATTGTTGGTTGATGTTGTCACCACTTATGAAATTATATGCTTATTTTTAGATGGTTATATTTTCCTTTAAATTTTATACAACTTTTTAATTTTCTTTAATTTGTTGTTCTTTTCGAACCAGTATTTGTGTAACTGATCTCTAATATAGAGATGGCATCGATAAATAATTAAATCAAAATTTCAGTAATATCATTACTTGAATCTAGAATCATGACTAATGTTATCTTTGATGTTATTTCTAGAAATATCAGAATTAGTTGAACGTGTCATCGTATATACTCTTCACAAGGTATACTATTGATATTGATATTTTATGAAATTGTTAATTTAAAATTATCTTCTATCTTTTATTAGGTTTTTATTGAAGTGATCAGGGTTGGATATGTGCCTTCCTGTCGTTGACTCATTTTTATTGTTGCTTAATTTGTTTGATGGAAAATAAAAAAAAAATTATATATTATTTAATATTTCTTTTTTTTTTTTTTTTTTTTAATATCAAACATTTCATAGAGAATTTAATGGGGAAATGAATAGAAGAGAAAATTTAGAACCAATATATCTGAATAAATTCAAATTTTCAACAAAATATAACTATTCTAATAGATAAACATGCAAATTCATCATATTTTTATACTGCACACGTCATTATACAATTAACTAATCCAAGAAATATTGTTGAATTTTTCAGCGAAAAAGAGAAATCGTTAATTTCTTCCTTTTTCTGTCCTATAAATTTATTAGCGGAAATTAAATTTTTCATAAAGATAAAAGAAAAAAAGCAAAAAACGAAGATAAAAATTACTTCAATCTTATGGTTAAACTTTAAATTTAATGCATAATAAAGATTAATAGAATTTGATTATAAAGATTGATAGAAGATTAATAGAACATAATAAAGATTAGTAGAGTCACTGATAACGTTAATATTTTAGCAATTGGTACATTTCAAATAAAATATGCCACGCTGTAAATCAGATACATTTAAGTCAACATTTTTCTCTTCCAGTGCTTTATCAATGTATGGATTCAATACATCTCTTCCTGAAAATTATTTTTATTAAAAAAAATCCCTTTTTTTTGCTAAATTTTTATTACACATTATTTCATCATTTTCTTTTTTATGTTTACTTTTTTTTCTTATAGAAATTTAATCAAATTATTAATTTTTATTTATATAAATACATAAGGATAGAGTTGAAAAAACGAAAAACAATGATTGATACTTATTATAGTACATTTTATCAATTCGACTGATTACAATTATTTATTCTTATTCATTAATTAACTCTGTTCTATTAATTTAGCTAAGCAAAAATAAATGTAATTGGAAAAATTCATTTGCGCATTATTATTGAATTTTTTGTTTGAAAATTTATTGAAACTAATTTTGTGATAAAAAAAGGTATATAACAATTTGATTATTTGCTTGTTATTTTTTTTTTTTTTTTAAATTGTACTTTGTATTAATAAAATTATAAGAAATATATACCTTTGTAAGGTTTTGGTGATTGCCTTATTGCCCAGTGATGATAGCGGCGGTACCATTTCAATTGTGGTACTATCCTGCGTGATCGTATTTTTAATGCTGCCTTCTGCAATACTTTACTTGAAAATCTATTCACGTAACTTAGCAGAAATAAAAGAGAGAGAGGGAGAAGGAGAGGAAAGAGAGAGAACTGAAGATGTATTAAAATTCCTTAATCTTTTCTTACTAATAATTTTAAAATAAAAAGAAGTAGTTTTGCTATTGCAATATTCAAGGCATCCTTATCCACTACAATTGTATTATGATAATCAATCATATAGTAAAATATGTTGGTAACGAATTTCTTTTTGAAAAGTTGCAAAGAAAAGTAATATTTTCGAAAAAGGTAATAATTGAGAATAGTTTGTATCAGAATAATCAGATTTTCTAAGAAAATAAGAAAACTGTAGAAATTCTCATTTTGTCATTTTTTTTTCTATCAATTTTTTGAGTAGAAAATATTAATATGCAGGCAAAAATTTTCTAAGTAATATAAGTGATATTGATAACCTAATGAATTTTGAGGAAGATTAAAAAAAAATTACAATTACGATAGGGAATGGTAGATTTTTTTTTTTATTTTACGATATTAATTGGAACTAATGTTTGAAGGGAATTCTTGTCATTGAACTTGGCTGCATACGAGGGGTTTTTTACGGAAGACAGGTTCACGATCATGGTACTGCCGGACTTCACTCAACCATTCCATATCATCAAGTCGTGGACGCATCATTGTATGTTCCGATATTTCGCTTAAATTTTCGAATGATGAAAAATCGGCAGATGTATTTGAGACGCTGTAACTTGTTGCTGATGATCTGAAATGATTGGAATGGTAGTTTTTTTTTTTTTTTTTTTTTTTTTTTTTATGAATTCCAGAATTATTTAATTATTTTAATCTGTAATAATGAACTTTTTTTTCATACATTCAAATATCTTTTATTCTCAACTTTTGTACAAATGAAATATATTTTTCAACTGCAATTTATGATATCATTTCAATGTATGATTGATTGATAGTGAAATATTTTGATGTCAACAATAATACCTTCCACTGCAATTACTTCTAGAAAGAATGCAATCATCCTGAGTTATGGTATTTTCGCTGTCACCGTCTCGTCCTCTTTCACCAGTTGGAAAGCTCACACTAAAAACTGATCGGGTACCAATTGTCCTGCAACACAGTTCAAATATTTATTTTCAATTCTGCGTAAATAAAATATGTTCGTGAACTATAATTTGTGATATCATTTTAATATATAACTGATATTATGTTGTCATAATATTCTTGATACAACTATTTATTGTGCGAAATTATTTATTACAAGATACTGTTTATTATAAGGAATAATAAGGAACCATTCTTATCAATGTATCCAATCTAATGCTAAATGAATCAAATATATCGAACATTTGCTAATCATATTACTGTATGCGTAAAACATCAAACTTATTTACATTTGTCCTAAAAAATACAGTACCAAATAATTACATATATTAACTATCATATATTATGTAAAAAAAGGATGAAGAAAAGGTGCCTGTTATCAGAAACGATGATTAGTTGCAAAAAAAAAAAGAAAGAACGAACGTTGTCCATGAATTTGTTTCATCTATATCGTTGTTATTCTCCAAATCTATCACTTTTCCTTCATCAGACTAAATAACTTCTATAATTTTGTTTTACTTCTCAATACTACCATATGTATTAATTATCATATCAGTTCTTCTCATATCAATTTTTATGTTTATTTAAGAACTAATTCTTCCTATGATCATATTGATGTGATTCAGTAAATGAGTCTTTTATTTTTTATACTGCGAAAGGAAATTATATTTTTCAGTACATTGTCATTTTTGCATAATAATGATTAAGTCAATAATATTATTTTTAAATGATTTTTATTTAATCAATTTGTCAGTTATATCATTGCATTTTTTTCCTGATAAAACAATTCAAAAATTCTGTGAAAACCTTAGAAAATGATTTGTTTTTCTTATATTTTCTTCTTATTATCTTCTTATACAAACCAAATGGTAATGAATGATTTAAAGCAGATGCTTTGATATGATTTCGTTCTAATACATTGCCCATTTCAATTCAATCTAAAAAGAAGAGAAAAAAAATACCAAAATTCTTCAATTAGAAATTTAAATTAGATCAGAACAAAACTCGTCAATTAAGGAATATATAATTCTAAAAATTTTTTTTATATTTTTTAAAAATATATTGCAATAAAAAGATTACTGCAACAAAATATTGCACTGAATGTTAAGTAATTACCTAAATGATAATAAATGATAATGAAACGACAATGTAAAAAGAACTAACAATTTGATAAAAATCCGTCGTATCTTTTACTTTCATACAAATGTACTTAATAAATAAAAATTCTCACTTAATTTCTTTTATTACAACAAATCCTCATAAAATATGTAAATTTTTTAAAATAAATGTTGACGAAAAAATCAAATGACATTTTTCCATTTTTTGCCAAAGGAATATTTTGAATTTGAATTTTTATTTAAAATGCAACAATAAATCAAAAAAAAAAAAAAAAGAAAAAAAACCTACTTCTAATATTTATCATAAATACATGTAATGTAGTAAGAAAATATTAATGATACATAATTGGAAATGATAAACTAATCAATGTCATTTTAAAAAATGAAGTGAATAAATTATAATACAGGATAGAATGATATAAAATATCAAAATGATTTCAAATATTGTACAAAAGTTCATTATCATAATTTGTGCCAGAAACTGCACTATCATATAAGCAATGGTTTTAGATAATTAAATAATAGCAAAAAAAAATTTTTTAATTAAATTATTACTCATTATCATTCTTGCTAGCTTAATTTTCACAATGAAATATTTATCCGTAAATTATGGTTATGCAATACATATATATTGCATGAACGTCATAAATTCAAAACTGAATAAGTCTTGTCATAGTAAAATTAAAACCAAATTCGAATTAATAATAAATTAATTTATATCAAATGCTTGTGATAAGTACAACATAATTTATTGAATATCTGAAATTAAATATTTGTAAAATTAAGCGTTTAAAATCAGATCAAAAATAAATTCGAAACTAAGTTTCAAGGAATGAAATATAAACTATTAATTAATTGATTAATTCATTCCATGAATTCATTTCTATGAATAAAATTATGGCAAATGATAGTGAAATATTTAGAGTGGAAATATAATTTCCTATTCTAATATCTAAATTATTTTTCTTTCATGCTGTATCATTGACCCACCTCTGTTAAATCTGTATTTATCATCTGTTCCATTATCTGTTTCATTATTTGTTCAATGAAATGTCAACAAAAAAAAAAAAAAATAAAATAAAATAAAAAAATAATCTAAATTATCATAAACCTTTTATCGAAAACTTCAATTATCCCAAATTAAAGCACATCATAATTTTTTCATCAATAAAATGAAGAACTGTAAAATTAGCAACAACGTGAAGATTTTTTCTTTGTTTCTTCTACAAATTCATTTTATTTATTAAAATTTGATGAAGCCTTAAATTTTACTTTGATCTTAGCTTCATGGTGAATTTCAATCTTTGTATCAAATTTCTGTGACAATTTAATTAGCAACTGCTTGCTGCTTACATAAGCAAGTACCACAAAAAAAAAATCGTGGAATGATTGATACTAAAAGCAAGGGTTAGCAGTAAATCAGTAATTATTAATCTTTCTGATATGTTTAATCAAAAGCCAGATGAATCAATTTAAGCAAATTCGAAGATTAGTATGAAAGTATGAATTCCTTCAAAACATAATGAAAATGACTTGATAACATAATTTGTTCTTTAAAAAAATGAAAAATGTGTTTGTGAGCATTAATATAAACAGTTGCAATTAAAAGTAATGTTTCGAACATTAGGAAATAATACTTTTGCTAGCTTATTAATTCCTCTTGTATTATATTATCATTAATTATTATTAATTATTCCTATTATCGCTATTGTTATCGTTATTGTTATCATTTACTTATTTGTTAATTTATTTATCGGTATGATCATCATTATAATTATTGTTATTATTATTATTATTATTACTGACAACAACAATAATCGTTATTATCATTATTATCGCCACCATTGTCACCATTATTAGTAGTTATTTGTTGTTGCTTAATATTAAATTAAATTAAAGAAAAATTAAATGAAAGTTTTGACAACTGTTGAACCTAACTGCGATAGATAGTGGATTGTTTACATTTGACGAAGTTATTATTTACAAATTTATCTATTTTTATTGCAATTGTTTTATCAAAATTTTCATGTATTTTGCATAAAAATATACAATAAAACGAAATAGTCAACTGATTTCAATAAAATTACAAAAATTTCAAATTAATCGGTTTTACGAATTTTACATTATCAAAAATATAAACAAGATTGATTGATAAAGTTAATGTTATGTATGACCAAACAAATGATTTTATTGTTTATTATTTGACAGCAAACAACCACGCGTTCCTCGTTTCAAAATGTTATCATCGAAGCTGATCTTTGTCTTGATTATTATCGTTGTATATCTTCATACTTTTACTTTTTCAGAGGTATTTTTTTTGCACATTATTTATTATAATTTAGTTTTTACACTGCTGTCAAAATACCAAGCTATCTGCGATTATTCCATGAAATTTTCAAATGCAAACTTTTGTCATATCATTAGTTCTTTATAACTGATCATCTGATATGTTTACTTTAATTATTTGATTATTCTATCGAACGCATTGCAAATATTTAAATGAGCTATTTATGTTTCATTATATTACTTTAAAATAATTTCATTAATTTACAGCAGCAATTTAAATTTTCCAAAGCTAGAAGTTAGCAGTAAGATAAAATATATATAATAAAATATGAAAATTGGAACACCAAAGTTTATAAAAAACATTTGTAGTAATCGTCAAACTAAATATTTTAATTGTTCTATTTAATATGAAAAACTTAATCTTGAATAAAAAGGTTTGATTATTAGCAAATAGAATTTAGGTGTTAGGAATATATATTATCTTTCGGTTCATTAAATATTTTTATTTCTCATAAAATTGAAATGAATATTTCTACTTATCCATTTTAATTCTTTCAGTTTTAACTATTATTTTGACTTTAAAAAAAGCTGAAAAATTGAAAAAAAAATTTCAATAATAAAAAAATAACTTTAAATAAAATTTGTATATTGCAGAATGAATTGTCACAAAATTATTCGGAAAATGATATCAGTGAAGATATCAATCAGAATATAACTACGGAACCAGTTGAATTAATCACAAAATTAATTATTATTATTATAAAAGAGTTGGAAATGAATGGAAAAACTGAAAATGGAACAAAATTGGGAATGCCAGAAGGAACTGAAAATGACAGAGAAATTGAAATGAATGAAAATTTTGGAAATGAAACAATAAGAATGTATGAAGATCATGAAATGAATTTAACAAATTTGCTAAAGCCAATTATTCGTGATGTAATTATTGAAATAAAAAAGCAATTAGCTAAGAAAGAACCAGCACTTAGCTTATTTGGTGCTATTCAACGTGTCACCGGTGACTTTTGGATTGCTTTTGTTAATACAGTTAAAACAATTAATAACTTTTTTGATGCGTTATTTGCACCACTTTTAATACCATTGCAACCAAAGCTAACTGAAAATTAAACAACAAAAGAAAAAAAAAAAATTTTATAATATCACTAAACAATATACGTTATCATTTTACAGAATTAATTGAAGTAATAATAATGATAATATCATTATTATCAATTCATATTTTTAAAATGATTAAAAACTGAAGAAAAAAGGCTTTCTTTTTTATTGTAAAACTAGTTATATGGAAAGTTATAATAAAATTGTAGTGCTTTTTTTCTTATCATTACTTATCGCTCTTTCATGTAATCATTAAGAATTCTGGATGACATGGCATATTACCTGCCGTAGTTTATTATCTCACAGATATACGTATGATGCATTGCCTGTCTTTTTGTAATTCTCTTTCTGCTTATGATAATTAAATGAAGTTAATGAATTTTTGAATTTACTAACATTATATTAATCACTTAATTAATTACAAATCGATAGTTCAGGCAATAATTCCTTTGTTTCATTTACTATTAGAAGTATTATTAGTTTGCAAAAAAATAAAAGGTTTATATCGTTAATTATTGTTGTCGCAAGCAAAGTATAATCAAAAAATGTGTGACGAAAACGGAAAATATTCCGCTGGTAAATTAATTGTGCGTTATTTACACGTGTTAATAAGCATTATTGTTAAGTACAAAATATTTAAATATAAAATCATAAATGTTTTGATATAACATTGATCTTTTTTGCCGCCCAAAATATTTAAGAAAATATATCCGAAGGAAATATGACATGAATGAAAACTAATTTATCAAGCGCACTTGTCCTTTCATCATTCATTAGAAATATTTTGGTATATCATTTAATCATATCATAATAGTGCAATGATAATACCAGTGACCTTTCTTGCTCGTTTTCAGCGTTAAATGAACTTATATTTTCTCCAATTTCACTAAGAAATTAGTGAAATTTGATCGCGAAAAAAACAAATTTCATTAATTTTTAGCATAACATAAATTTAGAAATAATTAACAAAAATTTCACTAATTTCTTCTTAGTTTAGAAAAAAATTTTGAAAAAAAAATTTTCTTAATTTCTTCAATTAATTTTATTTAGCTGATTACTGAATAATTTTTAATATATATATATATATATATATATATATATTAAATTTGCATGTGACTAATTTTACTTAACTGTTTATCAAATAATAATGATTCATTAAATAATAATTTTTCCTATCTCAAGATTAACTTTGCCTACTTTTCATACTTTCAAATTGATTAAAATATTTTTATTAACTGTTACAGCAGAATTTTAGCACTGATTGCTATCTTAAATTAATAATTATCATACATTTGAATTAAAGTATTCTCTTTATGATTCTATTTTTTTTAGTTTAATGCTAAACTATTTAACAAAACTATCAAATCAATAATAACATTTGTTTACTGCAAACTATGCATGCAATAATAGTAATTGTAATAATAAATTAAAATTAATCAGCTTAACCTTAAATACATCTACAATACTTTTAATGAGCTTCAATTACCATACCATATCATAAATTTCTCTTCAATAAATTAATTACAACCAGAAAATATTTACATCGAAAATATTTGATCTTTAAATTGTTTTTCACTTTTAATGATAAATTAAGCAGAATAAATTATGGATTAATGAGGAATAATAGCAGTGAATAACAATGTAAAAGGTATATTTTCCTGAAGCATTTCACATTTTCATTTCAAAATATTTCAGTTATTGTAGAATAAAACAAATGATTGGTTCATTTCTTATCACACTTGCTATTATTCCCAATGTTTACTTTTGTAAGGTAAGTGTAATTATTAGTAATTATGAATTTGTTGGAAAATGAAGTGTTATTCTTTTTTGATATTACTTTTTTTGGAAATATTACTTATTTTGCTACATTTGTGAAATGATATCGGAGAATGATTAACATTTATGTGTTAACTGAAATACTCAATATTTAATGCTTAATGAATAATAGAATAATCTTAAGACAATAATGTTATTTATTTCCACTTACTCATTGCATAATTTTATTCACTCAATTATTTTGCATTGAAGTATAGAAGTTTGAGAAGTTTGACTTCAAGTATCAAACTTATGACGAATAACTCATAAATTCAATGAAATATATTTGAACTAAATAAAATCTAATATTTTAGCAATTTTTTTACGGAATAATTTTGCATCAATTAATTTTTACATTTGCATTTTGTAGCCAATTGAATCGACACCAACAATTATTAGTGCTATTTCGTCAAACGATAAAGATATGCAAAAAAATAAAACAACTCCACTATCACCATTATTATCATTATTATCATCATTATCATCGTCTGGATTAGATAAGACTTCGGATGATTTAAAAATTGAAGACGAAGGTCGAGAAAAAGGTATGAAAATGTTTCTGGAAAATAACAAAGCGATCTTGAATACCGGATTATTAATTGATGATATGATTGATGTTATACGCGAAGGTAAGGAACCATTTTTAACATTATTCGCATTACCATTATCTGTAATATTTCATCTACTAGGCCAAACTGAAATTGGCGATGTATTTGGAAGTTTCGGCTTATCAGCACTTTTGAATATTATCAGTATGCGATAAATAAATTAACAGTTCATTGATTATTTCATTTATTTAATCATTTAATTAAGAATATGGTTTATTTCATCAGAAATTACTATATCTTTTTAATATTTTATTTCTTTTTTTTCTATTCTTTCGATTTTTTTGATTTTTAATTTCTGATATATCGATGTGAAACACTCATTTTATCTCTCCTTATCATGCATGCATTGATTTTAATCACCTCATTAAGGAAATACTCTTTGTAATTTTTTTTTGGCTGTATTTTTAATTAAATAAACTTATTCTTGTCAATTTTGTTAATTAAATTAGAGTATGGAATTTCAAGAGAATTAATACAACAAAGAGTTTTTTATGAAAACTGAAAACAACTTGCACATAACTTAATGATTACATCAAGCCTATCTACCGTACCAAATTTACAAATATTAACAGCAAATGGCAAATGAAAATTTCTATAAGTTTACTGAATGAAAGGTTGTCACTTAATAAATGTGTGACAGTGCCCCATCTGCTTCGAAATCATTATTCCATTTTCAGTTTAGATTAATTAAGCGAATTATTCTCTAAAATGGAAAAGTTGACAGAATAAATAAAAGTATTTTTATGAAAACTGAAGAAAAATGTGAATAATTTCGTCTTATTTGTTTGAAAAATTTTAATCCAATATTTGAAATGAATTTAGTAAATCTTTTTAAATTTTTAAAAAATTTTTTTTCTTCAAAAGATAAAAATTTTCACAATGGAAATTATTAAAAATTATATAAAGTGATTTTTTGTTGTTATGGAAAATTAAATTAAGCATAACAAATATGCAAAATTTTTATATTATATTATTGATTTGTGACATAAATATTGGCGATTATTCTCACTATCAGTAACCGATCAGAGGTGGTTTCTTCATATCTGACGGTGAGATGCACTGAATCATTACCACACTCCATTTAAAAAATTCCAACTGTTTTATGAATATTGTGATGCAAAGTATTGATTGATAGTCTGTTAATATTAATTAATAAAAAGGCTAGTATTCTGTCCAAATTTCAAAGCAACAGAAGTAATGTTGCGTAATTGATTAGCTGTATGATAATTTAACATCATAATTTAATTGAACATTTTAATTAATTGAATCTGACAATCTAATATCGTAATTTTAATAGGTCGAATAAAACAAAAAACATTTGTGTGCTTTCTTCTATTAGATTAATTTGATAAAATTTTGATTCCAGAGATTAATTTCATATGATTACAATTATCACAAAAGCAACAATAATAACTCTTCAAAAATGAATGGTAATATTTTCTATCAAAATGGAAAATCTTAGTTTGTTAGAGGAAACAAATTATTTGAATTAACAAATTATTTCAATAAATTTTCAAAATTTTTTTTCAAAAAGTATTTAAAGCGCAGTTCACGTAATCAACTTCCCGCATATCGTGCTTTGAGAGATTTCTAAACCATTTGAAAATAGTAGGAAATTGATATGCAACAATTTCTCTATACCATGCTGCTCACTGATTGTGATATTAAAAAGTGCATAATTGAATAAAAACTTTGAATAAAATTTAAAATTTGCTGAAAAAATAACAGATAAGAATTTTAAACACAAAAACTGCTTAATTATTAACATAGGCAAAAAATAAAAATAAAAGGAAATTGGCAAACATACAAATATTTTAAAATTAAAAATAATTTAAAAAGTTTCACTTAATGAATAGATGGGTCCAGAAATGTGAACCTATTAAATGAAGTAAGCGATGATACCTCAAACAGCGAATCAGGTTGTTAAATACTGATAGCATTACTATTGTAAAAAGAAATTAACAATCTTGCAAATGTTTTGAAATAAAAAATGTCAGCTTTTTTTGAAAAGATTCGGAATTTTTATTAAATTCTTATTAGCTTGATTTTCTTTTTATGATGAAAATAGAGTTATCAAAGAGTTTTCTTTTAGCGACTACTGAATTATTTAATTTGCCATATTTATTAATTTAGATAATATTTCATCAAATATAATTATTATTTGTAAAATTAAAATTTTTAATTGAAAAACATTTAGGAAGTAACTGCATTTCATGACCTTTTTTTCTGTTCCAAATATTCATTTGAATTCGAATTTTTTCGATTTTTTGAAAGAAGTGAAGTCATTATTGCATTTTATTCGAGAACACATTCAGGTTCAATTCATTCTGGTAGACTGTTAAATGAAAGCTTCGATTTTGATGATTTGGATGCATTTAACTTACTGGGTCTTAATTTTGAAAATTTTGCTGAAGCTGATGAATCAGGGTATTACAGCGGTGATCAGTTGCAGAATGCTGTTGATAGGTTGTATTAGAAAAAACCTACTCACAAAATTGATGGATAAATTTTCATAAAGTTACCTTGCAAAATTATAAAGTTATAAAGCCTCATGAGTTCGGATAATTACACTACTCTTATGAACCGAATAGTTTGCATGAATCCAGATGCAACAATTTTGCATCAATCCGGATAGTGCAAAATTTTGCGTGAATTCGGATGTTCATTATATTCTTACAAATTTAATTGTTATTCTGTAGATCTCTAAAATTGAATTATTTATTGTTGTTGAAATTTTCAGAGCATTTCTTTTTGGATTCAACGGGGCATTTAATCGTATAGAGCACGGAATTGATGAAATGGGAAATGAGAATCGGATTCATAATGTTAACAATGATGATTTATTGATAATTATCATTTTGATATACCCATCAATAATGAATTGGTTCGTTCATTTTAAAACTAATCCAAATGAAAAGCCAAAAAAAAAAAGAATAGCAGAATTAATTATATATTTTACTTGTTTCTTCTTCATCTTCTGTCTTCCAATATTTTTTTTTTGTCAAAATAAAATATACAACCATTAATCAACCTCAAGTCTAACTAATTAAATTTTCCTGAAAATTTAAGCATTTCAAAAAGCTAACATTTAATACTGTTGCATGAATAATGTAATGTTAATTCAAATAAATGAATAATTTAAATTACACGAAAAATAAATTGGGCAAAATACTTCAATCATTTAATCAAGTATTATGTAAAAGCAAAAAAAGATTTTCAAAACAATTTTAATAATAATACTATACATAATTATATGATAGTTTGCATAAAAATGGTGGAAGTTTAATTAAATTGATATTACAAAGTTTACAACAATTTCAACATAAGTTTTATGAAGAAATAAACAATGAATTTGATCAAATGTCTGATTATCTTCAGCATTTGAAAGCAAGCGGTTCACGATCATGGAGTCCACGTTCCATGCGTGAACGTCATGGAAGAGATTTCATTGAATATCGACGACATAGCTATCCGAATATTGTAAGTTTATTATTTTCTTTTGAATTCATTTATTTTTCTTTTTTTGCTAGTAAAAAATTTTAAATAAATTTTTGTATTATGGATTTTGCTATTGCAAAATAATTCGAAATCCTAAAATTTGCAAGATTGATTTTTCAATTAATTTAAATTCTTATATAAGAAAAAAAGAAGTTAGAAATAAAATTTTTCAATAATTATTGAAAAATCAGAACTTACTAAACTTAAAGAAATTTTTTAGGAAAAAAAAAATCCTAACCAACCAATTAATGATTTTTTAAAGCTTATCGCAACTATCCCCTGAATATACAAGAATTTATTTTTATTTTTCTGAGTTCAATTATTTCGATTTAAACATCCATTTGATAATATTTAAACAAACTTAAATACATTGAAAATTATTTAACCGATTCAACCAATTAGTTTTAAAATATTATTATTTGATCATCATTTACTTATTTAGCATCAGAAAATATAAATGTAATTGCATTCATTTGATTGTACAAAATTTTAGGCTCGAGATTTTGTTTATCAACAAATAGATGATGAATCAAGTGATGATAAAGTGAATAGCTCAAGCAATCTTGTAATAATTTTATTGAAATTAAACTTTTTTTTTTTATAATATGCAAATAAAAATGCTGCTATTTTCAAAATTTCTCCATATCTTCATCCATAAATATTAGATTTCTATAAATGGATAAATATGCCAAATAATCAGAAATGATTTCGTTTTTTTTTTTTTTTTTTTTTTTTTATAAAAATAAATTTTAGCTCAGAATGGGAGTGACAACACGCGATGAATCGCCACCAGCAAATGTGGCATCAGATCCTCGAGAATCATCTATGCAACAACAACAGCTACAAGGTAGCAACTATCCGTTGGCTTCTGGGTAGTGCTGGAAATAACAGGCAGTACGAAAGCAATCGTAGTGTTTTTTCGGAACAAACATATTCAGTTCGATCACGTCGTGGCATTAAACGTTATCGTATGCCAAGATCACTTAGCAGAACATCACCTGTTTCAGCAAAACGACAACGTTCATTATCATTAATTTCAAGACGAAATAATATTGAATATAGTTCAGAAAGTAATGAGGAACCAATGAGACAATCTTCACAAATCAGTTATATCACTGAAAGAAATTATCCGATCAGATCAGTAACAAAATTATTCATTATCAGTTATCATTAAACTTTAAATGATTTCATCATTGAGTAGGAAAGATTAAAAACTTTCTATGCATGCATGAATAAAAAAAAAAACAAAAATAATTCAAAGAATGGAAAGTGAATAGCTATTCATGAATATAAGATTTTTGTTAAATAATTCTATAAGATTTTGTTCAACAAAATTTTTAAAACCATTTTTTGATAACTGTCATTCAATTTTTAAACGAAAAAATTTAAGCGTTTTTTACAAACAAAAATACTTATTCTTTTAGAGAAGAAATATGAGAACTAGTGGAAGACGCTTGTTACCACCACGAAGTCTACGTCGACGTCGAAGATCGTCACAACGATATCTACGATCTCGATTATACGGGAGATTACGTCACGTGAACAGCGGTCGAATTAAAGGAAGATCTTTCAAAACCTTTACATAAAAACGATATATTGGGGAGGAAAAAATTTTTTTGCTAAAATTGATTTTTATGAAATGAATTACATAACTATGAGCAATACGATTACTTATTTACTTTGTAACCAATATTTAGTTATCAATAAATATTTAATCTATTTGCAAGCTTTTTATTTTTGAACATGTCTTTTTCCGATATCGACTTTTTGAGGTAACATGGAAATTTAAAATTTAATTTTAAACCACAACATTTCATTATACATGCATCCACTTTTGATTTAAAATTGAAATTCGATATTTGAAATTGTGAAATTTGATTCATAAATTTGCAATTATATCTCCAAAATTGTATTATTAAAAAAAAAGAACTGAGAAGTTGTTTTCCCTTTTTTTTGGAAAGAAAATTTTGGCATTCATAAATTGGATTCATGCAAAATTTACGCTTTATATTCAAAACTACACACGTATTTGGCGTGACTAATTCTAATTCATTTGCATATGCATAATTTTGAATTATAAAAAATGAAAATGATATAAATTCTTATCACTGTGATATGCTTGATAAATTTTCACAGATTTATGCTTGTGGAACGGTGGTGATATTTTTTTGTCATCCTAGAAATTAATCAATAAAATAATTGAGGCAAATAATTATCAGGAAGTGATAAAAATTATATTTAATAGTTTTGAAAGGTTAATAGCAGTTCATTTATGATAGATTGTTATTTTGAAATTAAATTTTGAAATTAATCAATTGTGAAAGATAACTAATTAAATTGCCTAATAATGTTTCAAAAATTTCTTTTCACATTTCATGTAAAGATATTTTAATAAATATTCTAGTAGAAATAAGACTGGGAAAATGGTTTCTTCACAACTGGACGATCACTTGATTCATCGGCGATATTATTATTATGGTTTGAATTATTATTTAATAATCAACAAGTAATTAAAAAAAAATTTCTTTTGAACTAAGAAAAAAATATTAAAATTAGATTATTTTTTAATTTATATAAAATTAGTGGGATAGTTTTATGTAGTAAATGAATAAATTGATAATTTTTCAGATCCAAAAAGGGATTTCGCTAATCTTCGTGATGGAAGAGTTATACCTGATGAAGAAAGAGAATTGATTCACATTCAATATATGCCTGTGAATGATGATAATGATAGTGATGACGACGATAATAATAATTCTGGTTTATCAGTTCAATTTTCTAATATGATAAAAATGGCATTCATCTTTTTTTTTTTTATAAAAACCAAAAAAAAATTTTTTCAGCGTTAAACATATTGGAAATCATTTTCTAATAAATTTTTATCACAGAATTTCCCACAGAAAACAGAAAAAAAAGTAGAAAGTGAGAAGTATTCTTTACATTTATATCAGAAGTCATTATTATCAGAGAATTCGATGATAGTAATAAAATGTAAAAAGTGAATATAATGCAAAAATAATTGGTTTGATCCCGGGATAACTTCAAAATTAAAAAATCATCAAAAAAGTTTTTCTTTTTTTTTAAAAAAAAGAAAATTTTACATATATATTATATGTTTTTTTAAATAAATTTATTGATACTGTGATATTAGAGGTCATTAAAGTCAGATTCATGATTATGCCAACCATTTACCAACTTTTTTATAATTCACAATTAGTAGGAGTAATTTTTTTTTTTGAATGATCTATAATGTAAGATTTAAAATTTCTCGGCATGTTTAAATTATCAGCGAAATTGTCTCATAGAAAATGTTATTTTTTTGAGGTAAAATTGCAACATTCCTGAAATAGTTTAGAAATTTTTAATTCATATTAAAATGTCATTTTCATCATTTATCCTTCAATTTAGATCACCAATCTTAATTAACATTTGCATCTAAATGTTTTTATTCAATTTAATTGATAAGTATTTGAATAGTTATAAACAATTTGAAATCACTATCAACTGAAAATCTTCTAATCGCTTTTTAAGCATTAAACTAATTAACTTCCTTAGTTATTACTATGGTATCTTTCAATATTCTTATCATATGAAATATGCAAAAACTAAAATAATTAATTCATTTGAGATAAAATTTAAGCATTTTTAATGATAATTTGTTTTGCCTTATTTTTTTTTTTTTTTTTTTAAGGTAATGAAAGCAATGAGAGAGAAAGTGAAGCGGAAACATACATAAGTGATGAACAACTTCCATCACTATCAGATGATGATAGTATTATTCACTGGGACGATGATATGGATCCTAATGAATTGCTACCACGGTTGGTTCATGGTGATAACAGTGATAACGATGATGATGAATTTGTTAACAGAAGTGGAAATTTGACCAATTCACGAACTGCTCAAACAAAGCTAATTATTTTTTCTTTTGGTTTTTTTTTTTGTAGGATTGAAGATTTTACCATTTCTGAATATTAAACTACAACATTTTTTCCCCAGATTTGTCATTTATTCCAACTGTTATTCATTTTGTCTTTGTTTTTTTTTATATTAGGTTTATTTGTAAACAATTAAAATTAATAAGATTTTTTTGACCTAACCTTTATGAATATTAGCAATTTTAGTAGATGAGTATATTCTAAGTGTTGCATAACTGTAACAATTAAAATATTTCATTTGTTTTATTCAGTTAATTGCAAAATTTTTTTATTTATTTGATTTTTCTAACTGGTATAGTAATTAAGTATTACAGACAAAATATTGATATAGATTTCGGAACTACTAATAATACCGCAACTACTTCAGAAGTAAATTGTTGATCTTTTAGAATAAAATTCCTTGACGAAATTTATGCATTGCAATTAGCAAAGATTTAAGATTTGATTTCAAATATTTCGATAATCATTAGAAATAATTAAATTTCTCTTTCGATCATATATACATTATTTGCACGTTGCATTAAGTGAATAAAAAATCAATTTAATAATTAGATCATTTTTGAATTTATGATGATTAACTTTTAGATAGTTCTAGCACAAAATTTTTAAGTGAAAAAACTTTCAATTTTTAAACTTTTATTAAAGTTTCTTCTTTCATTTAAATACTATTTCACATTATTTCAAAAAAAAAAAAAACTTAAATGCAATTAATTCAAAGTACAAATTTTGATTAAGACAATTTTACTTTTGCATACAATTATTGAAATTTTCCGGATGATAATAATGATCGATGGTGATGCAACTTATCACTACTACACAACAACAACGATCACGTTTGCATCAATTTCAGTGATACCATTTATTGGAAACATATCACTCACTGATCGCATCATTATGCCACCATATAATATAAGAGGGAATTCAATGAATTCATTACGTAATGTACGATCTCAACAATCTCGAGGATATTTCTATCCGCCATTTCCTGACGGAAAATGGTCATTTGGTTACTTGTCATGAAAATTTAAAAGAAAAATAAAATTTGGAATGGTAAAAATTTTTTATTAATTTTTTAAATTTTAAAATCATTTCTCATTATTATTTATTTTTCTTTATTTTTGTTGCTATTCTTATTTAATATTTTTCTTTTCATTTTTTTTTTTTTTTTTTTTTTTGAAAAGTTATTAAAATTTTGTTAATAAAAATAGATATAAAAAAAGAAAAGGAATTATTATAATTTAATCATTTCCTGTCTTCATTTTTTTCAGATTAGCATATTTTATTAACAAATTAATTTTCACTGAAATATAGTGGCAAATATATATGCATATGCATGCAAAGGAATTCAACAGGCATACATATTATAATAAACAATCATTTCATCTATCAAATTTAAAAAAATTTTAAACTTAGAACAAAACAATTTACCAAACTAATAAACATTGATTGCATCTATTAAATTAAATTCTGCGACAAATTAGGCAAAATTGTTGTACAATAAAATTTTAGATGAAATTTCAAATGCTTTTCATATGATGCTAATAAATGATGCTGACAAGAAATGATGATAAAAGTTTGATAATTTTTGGCTATTTTTTCTTTTAAGTCTTTTTTGAATGGCAAATTTTGATGTTCAAATTTAAATACGAAATTATATTTTTATTTGTTAGACTTAGCGGTTGTAATATATTCCATGAATTTGTATATTAATAATATTAAGATGATGATTAGCTATTATGACTTTAAATTGAAAAATTTTAAATTGTTTCATCAATCTAACTGATTTTTATGAAACATATCACGAGAAGACTAATTATCAGAGAATTAGGAAAATTTAAATTTATTGATCCAGAAACATTTGTTACTTTATTAGTGTCGAATCATCCACTGTTTCTAGTGCTTCCGAAGATAAATTAATTATGAGTTGGTCATTTGAATCAATCTGATTTGATCTTTTGCAGAATTGATTATTCACCAGTGATCTGATTTTTTTTTTATCAAATATTTATTAACTCTTGTAAACATACAAATGAATTTGCATAAACCTTCTATAATTTAAATCCAAAATTGATAATGAATGATTCTTCGTGTGATACGGATAACAGAATAATTTTAGGAAAAATTTTAAAAAAACAATAGGATAAAAGAAAAGAAACATTTAACAGATTTCAACACTTTTAAATTTTATTTCAAATTTCGCTCCACAAAAAATTTGCTTAACGAATTTTCTTTTTTTAAGTAAGATAATGCGAAAAAGGAATTTAAAAAAATGCAAATGATCGAATATATATTATTCACTAATTAATTATAAACATAAATCAATTCAAGAAATAATTTCAAAAAGTTTTAACTGAAAGTTGCAAAAAATTATTTTTGCATCATTAATTTGAATCATTTCAATAAAAGTAAGTGATTCATAATGGGAAAAATAAATTAATGCATTGACCATCAATGGAAAATTTCAGAAACTGTTTTTATTTTGCAAAATTTTAAAATTTATTTAAATTTTCAATTTGTCTCTTTTAGCTATTATTATCAGATAATACCTAATTGGCAATGAAATGATAAGTGATCTTATCCACTCATTTTCCTTTTGTCTTTTATTTTTAAATAAAATGTAAGATTAACTGCATTGGTTTACTTTTAAACAAATTATATTTATCTCATTAACCCTTATTTGTAATAATAATTTAGAATGAATATATATTACAGTAATGAAGTTATTAATCCTATTTTTTTTAATTAAAAATTTTTTACAATTACTCGCAGATATCGTTAAATATATTAAATAATGAATTACTCGTTTTCCATTCTAATTTTTGGTAATAGTTTTGATAATTTCAACAATGAATGAACTTTTATAAATGGCTAATATTATATAATTAATTGATATCATACTGTGTAATCATCATCATTGAAATTTAGTTGCTGGAATTTAATTTTTCTTTTCTTTTTTTTGAAATTCTATAATTTATAAACCTATAAAACCTATAAAAGCAATACAACTTACGAAAAAAAAATAAAATAATATCTAAAATATCAATAGGAAACTGAAATACAACAAATTTTTTGCTCTGATAATAGTATTTTTTCATTTCTTAGTGCGATAAAACATTTGCAAAGAGTAAAGTTTTCAAATGAAAAAATGAAAAAACTTCAGTAATGATAACAATTACAATCACTGTTATCATTTAAATTATTTCTTTTATTTTACTTGATTATATTACTTGAATCTTTTCGTAAAGTGCAATTTTGAATGAATCAATAATTGAATACTTAACGATTTTGAATTCATTAAAAAAATTCTTTTTTAATTTGAATCTTTAAATCTAGCAAAACATACGGTAATGTAATATGAATACTTCATTTTAGATTAAAAAAAAACCGAAAAATTTGATTAACTCAAGAAACGAATTATAATGAAATATTTAATTGGCGTACGACGTAGAAAAAATGATTTAATTTCAAACCTTAAAACAACATTTAACAAAAATATCAGTGAGTACGAATTATATTAGTAATAACAGAATTATGCTAAAAGCAATCCATACTTCGCGCATGATTCCTTGAAATTTCAAGTTAAATTTAATTAAATCGACAATGCCTAATTATATAAAGCATTTTTCTTTTGATTAAAATATTTTTAAAATAAAATTAACAACATATTATCATACGTTCTTATTTTAGTTAACACAAAGCAATTTAGTTTGATCAGTTTAAATTTTATTAAACAGTTCTCTCTTTTCTTTTTTCTTCTTTTTATGAAACTTATTTATATAAAACATATGCAGTATCATAGACAATTGATTTTAAAAAAAGTTTAGTAATATTTCAAGGTTATATGCTGCTTGTTCCATATAAAATTTGAAATCATAATTTATAATAAATAGTTTCGTGTAATATGTTGATGTCCAATCAAAAAAAAAATTATTAAAATCAATTTCAATTGAAAAGATTATAATTGTATAAATTGAATTTAAATATCAATTTCTTAAATTTATGAAAAAATCATTCATTTGTAAAAATTCTTATCTAGCATGAATTGTAAAAAATAAAATGAGGAAATGTAGCAAAATTTTAGCATCGAAATTCAGGGTTTAAGCAAGTTTTGCTAAATCTTTTTGAGTTATTTTGTTTTGTGCTGATGCTAAACGCTTTGTATGACAATACTTTATCCATATGACATACCATTTTTTTTTTTTTTTTTTTTTTTTTTTTTTTTGGAAGTATATATACGCTTTTCTTAAAATAGACGAAGTGGTCAATTTTTTCATTTTTTTTTTTTGTAAAAAAAATATGAAAGTAATTTAAAATAGACGAAATGATCAATTTTTTTAATAATTTTTCAGACAATATTACAAGTTTTATCTAATTAATCAAAATTTGATAGATCTTTTCGATTTTCCTTATGCAATATGCTTTCAATCTTTTGATAATTATTTTATTTAATTAGAACAAACCTCATTGTTATGGTCATTGCTTCCAGAACGTTTGCTATTGATTGATTAATAGCAATTAACGATCATTTTCAACACTTTTTGCTTGAATTCAACATTTTTCAAATATCCGTCGCATATATCGCGCTAAGATGCAAACATAAAATTAAGCATAAAGCTCTGAAATTTCAATAAAACGAACATTGATGTGAAATTGATATTCAAATTAATTATTTCAACATATCTATATTTTCTGATAGTGGAACGTTACGTCAAATATAATTGCACAGGTGATTCAGGAAAAAATCGCTCATTTATTGATTATTGTATTGATTAAAATTTTCAAGAATTGCAGTATTTAAGTTTTAGTTTTAATTGAAATGATCAGTATTTTCTACAGTTATCTTTCACATTTTTAAATTTCAATAATACATGAAATATTACGTGTTTATTGTGAAAAATAACAAGCTAACTTTTATGTACCATGAATTTATAAAAGTATAAGTATATTTACTGTGAAATTAATTTTTGCTAAGCGGTAAATAATAATATGATTGGAATCTATTATACAGTCTTGGTTGCAGCTATAAATGATATGCATTGA